TCTACATGATGCTGCTGGGGAGTGAAGTATGCTGATGATACCCAGAATGTTTCACCATTCTATTTTTAATAGGAAATATTTATCTTTTATTGCCTGAAGGTCATAAAGTTTTGGATGGGTCAAAACAAGTTCCAATTAAAATCTCTGCAGGAAGAGTTTGTGTGACAACAGATCTGCTTGAATCAGTCTCCAGCTTTGGCTTTGGATGGAACAACATTTGCCCTAAAGGAGCAGATCTCCAATTTGATGTCTTCCTAAGATTTTCATCTTCTAGAATATGGTAATCATAGTCAAGGAGTCTTTCCCCATCTCTGGCTAGTATACCAATTATGAGCCTTTGGGGATTGAAATGAAGCAGTAGAAAAATCAATCACTAATTCACTAAGTCTGTCCATGCAATAATCCAGCAGATTAATATTGCTAGATATACTGTAAATATAAACTATACTTTGGCATTCATATTGGATCTCAGAAAACCTCTAGGACACACTCAGATGTACAGTCACTCCTTCCAATGCACCATGAATGAAAAGGGGGAAATGGAATTCTGAGTGTCTCAGCTCCATGAATTTGGTTCTATTCATTGGAATCCTTAATGTAAAAAGAGGTACATTTTCTCAGGCACGTTTATTCCTTGCTCCATATGGAAGGGATAGGAAGATGAATTGATCTAGTATAGATTTGTGGAAGAAACAGTCAGGCTTGACCCAGCTCCTACTTTATTCTTTTTAGCTTGATGGATATGGAGTATGTTTCATACGTCAGCAACTGAGAACATCAGTTCATGTCAAATCATATTTATCAAAATTGTGTGCCTCATAACAAACAATATAATCAATTATTATTAGATCTCAAAGACCAAAAGTCATATTAAAATTTATGGCCCAGGCATTGTTAAACCTATGCTTCCCAATCTTTTCCTCCAGACAGGCCACAGCATCATTAAACATTTTGGAGGTTCACCAGAGATGCCACAGTTGGTATCACAATGATGATGGGTGGTGTAACACATAGGCGTTTCTTAGGTGATGTCAAGCAAGGAGCCAAAAACAAATCAGATTTTTTCCCAAATAAACAAAGTCTTGGGAGATCATAAAATTGTATAATCTTTTGTAAGAATTCCTTATAAAATTTGAGGAAGAGTTCCTAAAATCTCACAATTTTTTTCAAGCAAGAAAAGTAAGAGCAACTGCAAACATACCACATTGGCATGTGCAAAATATACCAATGTCATTCCAGGCTGAAGTCCACCTTTAGCCATTAAAGTTCTCTAGGTGACTAGTGACTTTCCACTTAATCTTCCTGACAGGGTGATTATGGTAAGGAAGAATAGTTGTGGAGCACTCCAAAGCTGTTGTATAATAACAGCCATTATTTCCAGAATCATCTATTCATGAACCACAGTAACATTTGGTTAAATATTTGACAAAATTCAGATGATACAATATATATATATGTAGATATACATGTATTTGAGTTATACACTGACGTTCATTTCTGGACAAATATCCACAATTAGAATCTGTCTTTCTGTCTTTCTCTATTTGTGTGTGTGTGTGTGTGTGTGTAATTTTCTTAGCAGGTTAAGTGGCTACATACAGAACTGCAAGTCTCTTGCCTTCTTGAAACTATCAGTTTTCCCACCTCTCCGCTGTTTGGAAGGGCCAAGAGAGGCTTGGCTTTAAAGAATGATTCCCCATAACTTGTAAAAACTTGGCTGAGCATATGTATCATAAATTAAAAAAACCAAGGTCACTATAAACAAACATCATCTACTTCCCATTTTCAACTGCTGATAATGCTGAAAAATTGACCCCGGAAGGTGAAGTATGTTATTACCCTATGTTTTCATGCCCTTTGTTTCCCCATCTTAGCCTTTACTCTCACTAGCAAAAACCTGCAGTTTGCCATAAATCATCTGTGATCCTAGAGCAGCCTATATTATCATAGCTCAACCTTTCCACAAACTGCACATTTCATCTTATCATATAAGGTAGGATTGACCTCAACCCTCATTACCCATGAAAGTTAAAAGAGCTGCAATCCAATTGTCTTGAGCTGTCAGAGAAATCTTAGTCAATAGGAAGTAGCCATCCCTGTTCACCACAAAGTTAGTTTGACAGAATAGAATAACAAAGTAGGAAGGTAACTTGGAGGTCTTCTAGTCCAACCCCTGCTCAAGCAGGAGACCCAAAACCATTTCAGACAAACAACAGTTATCACTTCCTGCCACTGGAAAAAAAAGTGAAGGTTTAACTGGGATCAATACTATCATAGATGGTATTGGAGGAAGCTTAGCCACTCCCAACCTTTGTTATTAAGTGATAACATCTGGTTTCACTGTGGTTCAAGCTTTTGTACAGGCCAAGCTTCTCATGTTTTACCCAACCCATAAAAATGGAGGAAACTACAAAATAGAATTCATAGAATTTATCTGCGGTGGAAGCAGGACATTCTTTTGTCCTA